AATATTACGATATAGAGAAATATTAGATACACAGGGCAAATTAAAAACTAGGGAAGAATTAAAAGAACAAGGAATAGCAATAGACTGGTGGCCCTATTCACAAATAAAGATAAGATATAGGAAGGACCAGGAGGAGGGGGGAATAGATTTGAAACAAAACAGGTTGGATAAATTATTAGAATCTAAAGAAGGGAAATTAATTTCAAAAATCTACAAATATTTACTCGAATATGATTTGGCAGAAGAATTAGTGAAAGGGCAGATGATAGCATGGGCGAGAAACATCGGGCACAGCCTACAGCTAGAAGACTGGGAAAGAGTTTGGGAAACTAATTACAGCATGACAAAATCGGTGGCCTACAAAGAAAATCATTATAAGATGTGGTATCGATGGCACCTGGCCCCTGCAAGACTTGCGAAAATGTACCCAAATGTAGATCTGACCTGTTGGAAATGCAGAAAAACACAGGGAACCTTCTACCATGCTTGGTGGCTTTGCCCCATCATTAAGAAATACTGGAACAAGGTAAGGATATGGATAAGAGAAATTACAGATTGTGAAATTGAATTAGAACCTGAGATTTTCCTATTGGGCATGATCAAAAAGAACATCCGAAATGACATAAAATACCTAATACTTCATATAATCACAGCGGCAAGATTAGTATTAGCACAATTCTGGAAAAGCGATCGATTGCCAACAGATCAGGAATTAATACAAAAAATATATACATGCGCAGAGATGGATAGACTAACCTTAGAGTTACAGGATAAGGAAGACTCTAAATATTATGAAACATGGAATAGATGGTACCAATGGATAAACCAGAGGAAAGGAAATGGCTAGAGATGAAATTTAGAAGAAATCAATATAACAAAAAACAGCACTGTCAGAGGTATAGAATATGGAATACTTTATTGTACGTTTATATATATGTACATATAATATATATATTTATATAGAATAATGGAAATTAGTTAATAGGTGACATTTATGTACTGTATATGTAAATTTGTCTCTCAATTGTGAGAAACTTGTACGTGTTTTTTTTTAAAATGTTCTTTCTTTTAAACAATAAAGTTTATATTAAAAAAAAAAAGACTTTAATACCATTTATTTCTATTTCCACAGAAATCCCCCATTGCCATTCCCCACCCAATGGTGGGTTGCTAGTGGCAGGAGGCTCCGCCCACCCACCTGGACGTCTCTGCGCATGCGTGAACCACGAGCGAACCGGTAGCGACGGGATTTGAATCCCACTACTGTCCCCGCCCTATTGCTCCAAAGCTAGAAGAATCCTCTATGAGAATTGACAATTAGCCCAAATGATTGCTGAATTAGTTTTATTCACCTTCAAAAGGTTTGTAGGAGGGGCTGTCAGTGGTGAGTTTACATACAGTACTGGGGTAGATGCTATACTTGCACTTTGATTTAATATGGTCTCTCCAAACTGAATCACCAGAACCATTTACTTTAAAATTGATTTTCAATCTAACAGTTTACCCTTCCTTCTGAAACTAGTTTTTAATACTTTCATCCACTGTCCAGATCAGAGAAAACCTATATGGATAGGTACTATAAAAAAGGATGGACTAAAAAAGGTGAGTAGAAGGTGAATGAATGCCTCCCAAATTTTTAGTTCATGTACAGCCTCCAAATTATGACAAGCCATCCATGCTGAGGAGAAATAGTTTTAAGAAATACTACATTTTTTTTTTTACAATCATTTGTATCCAGGAGACTTTAATAGCCAATATTACAAATCGAAAATCCAGATTTAAATTCCAATTTAAATGTTGGTTTGATTGTGAATGTATCAAAGCTAATTAATGGGTGGATGCAGGGTCTACAGAACCAGGAATGGTCATTCATTGTACAACCCTCTATTGCATGGGAATCAAACCTGGGATGTCACGTTGACGTCATGTGATGTATCACAACTTTTTCCTCCTTCGTTAAAATGGGGGTGGGCATGGCCAGCGCGTAACACATCTCGCCTACAGGCCATGAGTTTGACACCCCTGCTTTATTGGAACCAAAAACATTTTATAGATGTTTGCTGAAAAAGAAAAAGCAGGGGACTCAGCTGACATTAGCCCAGACCAAAAAAATATAAATAAATAAAAATAAAGAACCTCTGCATTTTAGTACCTTGTAGCCAATGCTTACCCCAACATTTCCCTGGGACAGTTAAATTAACGGCACCTGAGGTTTGGATTGAAATACAATGTTCATTTAAGTGAGCCAACTCCTGAGTTAACTTTAGATCATTTTTTAGACTGACCTCCAGCACACTCTCTAAAACTTCCAAATGGATAGTGAAGAAAGCTAAAAAAATGAATCATAGAACTAATCAATTCAGAGTTCTCACATGAAGCACAAATGATCAGGCTCAAATTCTCATATTTATGACCTATTATGCAAAGGTCCAGGTCCCGTGAGAAGTCCACAATGCTGGGGAAAGTGGAAGATACGAGGAGGACAACCGGCAAGAAGGTGGATGGAGACTACTACAATATTGATGGGTGCACCACAGAGAGACCTGAAGAGCCAGGTGCCCCCTCTTCCTGGAGCTCACCATAGAGAATTTCTATCTATGTGATAACTAAGAGTTAACACTGAGCACATAATCCATCTCTTAATCAATTACTCAGCTAAGAAAATAGAAAAGCAATGAGAGATGATCTGACTCTAGCTCAATCTCTAAAGGATAGTTTTGGATTGTGGGTTTCAAAACTGGCTTCTTTACTGACCCGCAAATGAAAACTTTTTCCAGATTCCTGATGAATGAAGCCAATGAATTAAGTGCCAATCTGTAACAAAGAAGAAAAGCTTGTCTCCTAAGTAAAAGCAGCAAGCTGCATGCCATATGCCTCCATGGGAAATTAACTGATTGGCTATTCAGGAGAAGGTACTGATCAAAGAGCAAGCTGGGTTCAAACTGGGTCAATCAACACTTACTTAAGTGTTAATGTGCTGCACCATCTAGTGGGAAAATATTCTGACTACAAGGATCTCTTTAGTTCAGCTTTATTGGTTTGAAGGTAGCATTTGAGTCCGTGTTCAGGGGCAGGCTTGCAGTCGTTGCAAATTATTTCTTTGATGATATGATTTTATGAAAACATCTCAATGCAGGTCAAATGTTGATCCTGATTCAAAAAACGGTGAGCCAACTTTCTATTTACTTTTACATTAATTCCATAATTTAAGCATTGTCCAAATCTAAATTCTATCCCCTTCTGCTTGCAAAAACTCTTTCTTTTGCTGATGACAAACCCAACCTATCCATCATGTAACCAGATGAAACATCCAAATTCTTCACTTATAACCTGGTAGGATAAAACTCATCATCAATTATGATAAAAGGAACATACAGTATTGGTCTTCTCTAATGCACTTGGTAGTAACAACCATTTCGGGAAGATAACTAACACCTGCATAGAGCAAGTTAAGCGTTTAACTTTTCATCACTTTTCTACGCCATGTAGTAGGAATAAATAAAAGCTCTCATTGATAAGAGCTACAGAGACCTGTGTATGTGTGTGCATGAGGGGGATTTTGCCTTTTGCCTGTAACAAAAATGTCATACACAGTATGTACCACTGCTAAAACATCTTTACAGCTAAGGTGATTAGCTTTCTGCTATATGGATCACAAATCTGCAGATTCAATCCTTTTTTTTCTAATTTGCCAATCTGTTATCAGTTACTTTTTAGGAAGGGCTACTACATTTGGCTCTGTACCTTTTACCGTTTCGGTATACTTCTGCTCCCTCTCCCTCTCCCTCTCCCTCTCCCTCTCCCTCCCTCCCTCCCTCTCTCTCTCTGTCTCTCTCTCTCCCTCCCTCCCTTCCTCTCTCTCTCTCTCTCCATATACACTTACTTTAATTCTGTCTGAAAACTTTAGACCTTACTTTTATCTTATCTTTTTTTCTCTGCAATACTATATATCATCTCTGATATTTGACTATAAATAAAATTTACTCATCCCCAAGTTTCAGAAATTCACCTGAAAATTACTACAAGTTCAAACAAGATGCAAAACTGGGAGGATCACAACATTTAATTAGTTGGAAAGGTAGACCTTGGGGCAAATAAACTAAATTAGATATTCTAATAATTTATCATCTCAAAAGAATAGAGTATTAATAGTTTCCCCCCCTCTAGTTTACCCAATAAAAATGACTGTGACAAGGCCACTGAAAATTGTTGAGACCTTGTCTTTTATATCTAAGGACAATGCTAACTGGAAAACAATCTTAACTTTCTCAATCTGTTTTCAATCTTCCACAAGTTTCTTCCCCAAATTTAAGGTCTATGCAGGGGTCAAATCCAGCAGGTTCTGACAAGTTCTGGAGAACCGGTAGCGGAAATTTTGAGTAGTTCGGAGAACTGGTAGTGGAAATTTTGAGCAGTTCGGAGAACCGGCAAATACCACCTCTGGCTGGCCCCAGAGTGGGGTGGGAATGGAGATTTTGCAATATCCCTCCCCCAGGAGTAGTGAGGGAATGGGGATTTTGCAGTATCCTTCTCCTGGAGTGGGGTGGGAATGGAGATTTTGCAGTATTCTTCCCCTGCCATGCCCACCAAGTCACGCCCACCAAGCCACACCACGCCCACCAAGCCACACCCACAGAACCAGTAGTAAAAAAAATGGAATTTGGATTTCACCACTGGGTCTGTGCCTGAATATATTGTCAATGCCAAGAGACGCTGTTACTAAGGTCAACTGACAGACAATTCAAAATATCATTTCTGTAAAAAGGAAGATGCTCTTATGTTATAACATGCAAATACAAACATTCAGTTAAAAGTTGTTAGCAGTGAGAGTAAGAAAACTACAGTCATTCCACCAGATTTAGTTATTTTCAAGGGACTGTTTGGAAATAATCTCTTACTATAATCTAGAAATAATTAACTTCCAAATTCTCCACTGGATCATTGGCACATAAAAACTGTGCTTCTGTTTAGGAACACTATAGTCAATTCCTGAATGGCCAGTATTTCAGAGTTGCCAGGTTTAGACAGAATCTCTATTCTAAATGTCCTTGAACAAATGAACTAGCACTCATTTGCCAGCTGCCATTGGTGACAGGAATTGCATCTGGATTTAGGAAGTGGAAGAGGCTTCCAGATGAATTATAATCCAGTCTTAGTTGGCAACCGACTGAAGTTTGCTGATTAGATTTTGTACGATGAAATGACAGAATCCAGAGGCCATAGACAGAGTCAATGGAATCACCTTCAAGCTCCAGGTACAAGGTCTTGTTTGCGGATGCCTCCTAAGAGTATGATTTACTCCACATATTGAACCAATAAGGAAAGCATAAAGTCCTGGGCTTAAATCCTTCTTTCAGTGGAATAAGGAAATTATGGATCTCCAGGTGTTTGTTGAACCAGCACTGCAGATTCTGCACCAGGTAGGGGAAAAAAAATCCTTTTGGCTATAAAATTGTAGGTTGGTCTGCAGTTCTCTGCTTATACCTGGCACTGGATTTATACCTCGGCTACATTTTACGAATATATATCATGTATAGATAAGACTTCAGGCTGAAACAAAGTTGGTATGAATTGCACCACTGCACACTGCTTTACAGTTGTCAGTACAGACCTCTTAAAATATCCGCAGCCTCTCTGCATGTAGAAAATGTGCCCTCTAAATCAGGAGAGAGCTGGTAGAAGATACTTGTGACCAGTGGTGGGTTGCCCCCAGTTCGCACCGATTCTATAGAACTGGTAGTAAAACCGTTGGGAGGCTCCGCCCACTGACCCTGATGTCATCAGAACACTTCTGCGCATGTGTAGAAGAGCGTGCATGCGTGTGGGCCCCATTGCGAACCGGTAGTAAAGGTAAGTAGAACCCACCCCTGCTTGTGACCCTTCCTTCCTGCTTCTTTCTCTATGCCCTCCCCCCTCCCCGCAAACAATTGACCTTATGTATTATGGTTCGTGCTTTACTTGCAGTCAAAAATGTTACAGTCTACTGGCTTCTCTGCTGCATATTTAGAGAAACCACCCACTTCTGAAATAGAGATATTAATTAATTTTAATTTGACACTGCCTTTCTTTTTAATTCTTTTGTACATCTGATTTCAATGTTTTCCATACTTTCATATAACATCCAGCAGTGAAAATAATGTCAAGCAGTGGTGAAATCCATTTTTTTTTTACTACCAGTTCTGTGGGCATGGCTTGGTGGGTATGGTGTGACTTGGTGGATGTGGCTTGGTCAGTGTGGCAGGGGAAGGATACTGCAAAATCTCCATTCCCACTCCACTCCAGGGGAAGGATACTGCAAAATCCCCATTCCCTTCCCACTCCTGGGGAAAAGATATTGCAAACTATCCATTCCCACCCCACTCTGGGGCCAGCCAGAGGTGGTATTTGCCAGTTCTCCGAACTACTCAAAATTTCCGCTACCGGTTCTCTGAACTGCTCAAGATTTCCGCTACTGGTTCTCCAGAACCTCTCAGAACCTGCTGGATTTCACCCCTGATGTCAAGGCAGAAGTGGCCCACTGCCTTGGGTTTAGAGGCACATGTGTCTCCAGTTAAGTGTCCCATCTTTGAAAATATCCAACTTGGTCATGGTTGGCTGTAGAATCTATACCATCATCACCTGCCCATAGATGAACCCAGATGTTGCCTCAGGTAGCACATTAAGTGGAAGGGGACGGACAGGCTGAAAATGGCTATGGATGAGCATGGGAGACAGTGTAAGTGCATACCAGTTAAATCCGGGAAGAGATACAGAAATAACAAATGGGTTGCTGCCATCTAGCTGGGGTGGTTCTATGTCTGGGCACCAAATTTTAGTGGGTGCCAAAATTGAAAACCCTTCCAAAATACACAGCACAAACATACAATCTGTTCATCTTTCCTCCTTTCATAGGATGAAAACATCAGAGAAAACTAGAACAATTTTCTGGACCTGGAAACCATATGCATGAAGCTCAAAAACATGAAGAAGAAGAAGAAAGAAACAAGAGACTGCCTTTTTGACATTCATAACACAATTGGAAGAAGAACCAAACTATAGGGGCTCCAGAATATGACTTTGCCTAGGATCTCAAAATGCCTACAGCCAGCAATGCATCTAGTGGTCATCTAGTTTTTTTTGCAACCCAAAAGCTCCACCATCAGCCCCCACTGATGCCATCTCACCCTGGGAGTGCCTTGTGGTAACATGGCTTCCTCACATGTAGCCACTAGCCCTTTAATTGATGACTAACTTTGAGGTGAGGTCCCAGACAATAACAGTGACAATAACAGTTTCTTCTTCTTCTTCTTCTTCTTCTTCTTCTTCTTCTTCTTCTTCTTCTTCTTCTTCTTCTTCTTCTTCTTCTTCTTCTTCTTCTTCTTCTTCTTCTTCTTCTTCTTCTTTCTTCTTTTTCTTCTTTTTTCTTTTTTTCTTTTTTTCTCCTCCTCCTCCTCCTCCTCCTCCTCCTCCTCCTCCTCCTCCTCCTCCTCTTCCTTCTCCTCCTCCTCCTTCTTCTCCCTCTCCTCCTTCTTCTTCAGAAGATATAGAACAATTAAAACTCTAATCACATGTTTTCTGAATAGTTTTAATCCCAGAGCTATAATTGCACCCAATAATGAACTAAAGGGCCACCATCAGTGAGCTGTTGGACACCATTATTTGATCTGTTGTGTGGATGTTTGAGTGGTTCAGGGGTGGGCAATTTGTGGTGGTGGAGGTATTTGGGGATTGTTATGTATGTTGGGCATGGTCTTTGGGTATTATGTGAATTTTGTTGTATGGGTATACTGTGTATATACGTACAATGACAATAAAGTTTTTTGTTTGTTTGTTTGTTTATTACTTTTCCTTCTGCCTCTGCCTTCCTGCATCTACTTTCTTCTTCAAAATATGTTCCTATATATTTATCTCTTACAGATTGCACTTCCTTCCTTCCTTCCTTCCTTCCTTCCTTCCTTCCTTCCTTCCTTCCTTCCTTCCTTCCTTTTTGCCATTTCATGTGCTTCCTTTTCCAATTCTGGCAGAAAATTTCTCTCATTAATAAACCAGACTTGCTCATTTATCTTCCTGACTGCCTCCTCTCTCCCACTCAAACCTTTCTCCCTTAGCTCCTATAAGGGTACTTACACTAAGTGCGTTTACGGTTACATGTCTGGGTTGTTCCAAATTTAATTCCCAGCACAATTAATTTTCTTTCTTTCTTTTCTCTTTTCTTTCCTTTTCTTTTTACTAAATTTGAACTAAGCAAAGAGTCTGCTAGTCCACTGAAGTCCATTTTATTCAACCAGTAGCCAAAAGTAAGAGTGCTGGACAAACCTGGGTTGATCGTATGTGGTAATTTGCAACTCCCAGCTGGATATGTGGATTCAAGCACAGTTATCCTTTGAACTGCATGCCTCTTGGACCTTTTATTTGGTTTTGTGCAGTTAGGATTGAAAGTTTAAAAAATTAAGAACAAACACGCATACAGCTATGTGCATCTTCTGAGAAGATAGAACCACAAAGTGAATTTTAAAGGAAGTGCATATAAATTAAATATGTTTTTGTGCACTGTTTGGGGGATAAAAGAAGGAAAGAAATCAGGATAGAACAGATTTAAAACTAAATGTATGCAAAACCGCCACCAACTGGAAATCAAGCAGTGTATCAATTTCCAGCCCTGTTAAAATGAACTCTATAATCTCTAGCATAGCTGGAAAAGATAGGGATAATTGAGATTACAGAGACACTGAATAAACTCATATAAGCAAAATACCTCTGAACAGAGCAAGCATATCTTTTTGTTCTGGGGGGCAAAAACCCTCCCCAAATACTTGTTAAGAGAATAGAAACATTTTTAATGAATACATGACTTGGAAATTGGAAGTATTGATATTTGTTGTTTATATTAAATCTGATTTAAATGCTTTTAAGTGAAATATTTTGTTCATATATTTAAATATATTTTATTGACTTTCATTTTACAATGTGAACTTGTTTCCAGTTTATACATATTCCTTCCAAGTTTGTCATTTTGTCCTGTTTGGACTGTGAATTATATTGTTGCTATGTAGAGAATATTAACTTACTGAGGAAAAGTATAAATTTCTTTCCTTCTTTTGTGAAATAGGAAAATAGCTAAAAAAAAATTCTACCTGGCATGCTGTTGTGAACAAACATGATTTTATTTTCCACACCCTGTCAAATGCCTCCTTAAATCTTAAATCTTCCTTTTCTTGATTTTTAGTTAGCCCATTAATTTTTAACCCAAGCAAAATAAAGTCTAACATAAAATACTCATTGTTTGAATTTATATCCTGATATCCAGCCAAAAATGGCTTTCAAGGCAGCTAAGAAAAATCAAAGTAAGAATAGAAACAGAACTATAATTATATGAATTAATTTAAAACCCACCTGCCACACACACACACACACAATCTCCATGTCCTCTCGGAGAGGCTATCCATAAACATCTGCTCAAAGCAGTGGTGAAATCCCATTTTTTTTACTACCGGATCTGTGGGCGTGGCTTGGTGGGTGTGGCAGGGGAAGAATACTGCAAAATCCCCATTCTCACCCCACTCCTGGGGGAAGGATATTGCAAAATCTCCATTCCCACCCCACTCTGGGGCCAGCCAGAGGTGGTATTTGCCGGTTCTCCGAACTACTCAAAATTTCTGCTACCGGTTCTCCAGAACCTGTCAGAACCTTGTGGGATTTCACCCCAGCTCAAAGGTATCAAAAAATCATTAAGAAAGCTAAGAGAATTATCTAAGACATGTTGTTCTTCTGTTGCTCTTGGGATCATTTCTCCATCAAGTTTATCAAACCATTCTTAAAGTCACATAGAAATGGATTTAGATCACCAGCGCTAAGCCTCTATATTCATCCCACAAAACTCTTTCAGAATGCAAAGAATGGGGATTTTCCAGAAGTTTTTTAATACAATGGAATGTGAGGACATTTTGTTTTAAGAAATAAAGATCTCAATCTTACCTCTTTGTGGCATGAACAATGTTGCAAGAAGGCGTTCACCATTGCTCTTGCTTACTCCTGGGGGCAGGAGAGAGAGAGAGAGAGAGAGAGAGAGAGGGAGGGAGGGAGGGAGGGAGGGAGAGAGAGAGAGAGAGAGAGAGAGAGAGAGAGAGAGAGAGAGAGGGAGATATTTGTCCTTAAGAGAGTCATCTGGGAGTTTGTGTTACTTCTCTAAGGATCTTATTCAGATCCGCCAATTGTTCAAACCTAAATGTATCTACATTAACTGTCAAAGCAAGGGCAAAAGTAAATCTAAGTATATATGGTACTCTACCGGCATGGCCCATCCCAATTATCTTTCCACACCATACAAGATATCCTGTAGCCATCTTCTCTTTTTCTTCTCTCTTTGTTTGAATAGGATCCCTGATCTAAGAACTGCTATCTCATCAATTATATGGTCTAATATGGTCACACATCTTTATTAGAAACAGAATATGAAGAAAGTTCTAGGCCAATGATGCCTAACCTTTTTACCATTGCATGCCAAAAGTGGGGGGAGTGTGTGGGGGGGGTTCACGCGCATGCGTGTCAACACCCATAATTCTATGTGCCCCATCCCACCCCCACCCCGTGTTCCCCCCACTTTTGGCATGTGATGACACAGTGGGCCCGGTATACCCATTTTTCACTCTTCCCAGGCTCCAGAGCCTTTCTAGGAGCCTGGGGAGTGCGGAAACAGCCTTCCCCATCTCCCTGGAGGCCCTCCGAAGGCCAGAAACAGCCTGTTCGCCTACTGGTGGGCCCAGAAGACCTAAAAATTAGCTGGCTGGGCGTGCGAATGCACAGCGGAGCTGAGCTCACCTGCCCACCAATATGGCTCCACGTGCCACCTGTGCATGCGTGCCATAGGGTCGCCATCACGGTTCTAGGCAGACCAAGTTCTAACCTTCTTCAGGGAACCAGACCTTTAAGAAATAATGGAGAGAAGGAACAGCTGTGTCAGCCCCATTGTGTTACTCGGCATCATAGTGGAAACACAGATCACCTTATTTTACAGCTTGCTCTTCAGCTGTTTAAACATTAAGCTGCCCATTAGATCTAAAGCTCATCTTTTAATGTACCTAGCAGTTAATGAATTTCTCAAGTGAAAACAAAGATGTTAAACAAAAGGTTTAATGAATGTTCTAATTATGGGAACCGGCTTAGCTATATTGGGACAGTTCTGACCTCTTGTCCAACCTGAGAAAGTCCTCTGCCAAAGGAATGTCCCAGAAAACAAAAGGTCAGTTTCTATCAAGAGATCTTTATCCGTTCCTGCAATCAACAACTCACCGCCTTGCTAAGTCCCACAACTGGAGTTTTTCATTTGCATGACCTTGAAGTCTCTGTTGTTTTGTCCTAGATCAGGCCACCGGTATAATGTCATAAAAGCGAGCAAAACCTTTTGGAGAAGGAAAACAGTTGCTTTCCTATGCAAGCAAAGCCAGAGGGGCAGCCTTGAACTCACTGCACATTTGATAATTAGAAAGGAGGACAGAGCCAGGTTAATTAGCCTTGGTTTTTTTAGACATTGTTAGACACTTTCACACTGGAACTGCAATGGGAGCACATTTCTACCACCGGTTTTATTGAAGGTGGGCTCAGTGTTTTTAAAGAACATGCTACACATAACCAAAATCATCATACATACATACATACATACATACATACATACATACATACCAGGGGTGAAATCTAAAATTTGTTACTACCGGTTCTGTGGGCGTGGCTTGGTGGGGGGGTAATGTGACTGGGTGGGAGTGGCCAATTTTTTTTTTTTACTTTTAAAACCATTTTTTACATGTAAAACCATGTAAAAAAATGCTTTCGAAAGGCTCTGACTATCCCAGCTGAGTTGCCTGATTAGCAGGCAACTCAGCTGGGATCGTCAGAGCTTGGATCGTCAGAGCCATTTAAAAAAAAAAAAAGGCTCTGATGATCGCGCGGCTCAACTGGGCATGGGGGGCGGGGGCAGGGATTTTTGCTACCGGTTCTCCGAACTGCCTGCCGCCATCGCTACCTACTCACCCGAGCCAGTCCGAACCGGGAGCATTTCACCCCTAATACATACATACATACATACATACATACATACATACATACATACATACATATTACAATCGGGGCCTTGATGAGGCAAAGGGGCTTGTGTGGGTAAATGAAATTGGGGCTAACTCATCAGATATGGTTCTCCCACGGTATTCAAAAATATTGCAGGCCCAATTGGCAAAAAAAAGCTCAGGACTGTATTGGTGGGAAACATGCTGAAGAGGCCTTCATCCTGCAGTGGATAGATAGACAATGGCTAAAATGATGATATCACACACACACACACACACACACACACACACACACACCCCTAAGAGCAAGAATATCAAGGCAAGTACTGGCAGTCCTCAACTTATGACCACAATTGAGCCCACAATTTCTGTTACTAAATGAGACAATTGTCAAGAGAATTTTGCGCCATTTTTCGACCTTTCTTGCCACAGTTGTTAAGTGAATCAGCGCAGTTGTTAAGTTAGTAACACACTTGTTAAGTGAATCTGGCTTCCCCATTGACTTTGCTTGTCTGAAGGTCACAAAAGAGGATCACGTGATCCGAGGAGGACACTGCAACCGTCCTGAATATGAGCCAGTTACCAAGGATCTGAATTTTGATCACGTGACCATGGGGATGCTGCCATTGGTCTCGGTGTGAAAAATGGTCATAAGTCACTTTTTTCAGTGCTGATGTAACTTTGAACAGTCACTAAACAAACTGTTGTACGTTGAGGACTACCTGTATAACTCTATAACTGATGTTGATTTTCCAGCAAATTCCTCTGCTGATGC